ATCGCGCGACCCTGCCCGTGAGCAATCTCCCAACTCATCTCTGGCTGGTGTTCCACGTTGACCACGTGGGCCATTATTGCGGACAAAGTTTAAAACTTTGAGTTAGTAATTGTTACAAATCGTGGTAGTACTGTAGTGTTTTTAAATTTTATTTTTGCTACAATGTTGCGTCGTTATAGTCGCTTAATTACCAAGATGGCTAGTCATAGAAGTGTTGCCAGAAATTATCACGATGAATCTTTCGTCATCGGTTCCGCACAAGATACGAAATCAGAGGTGTATCAGGTTGTTATTCAAATGTTTCCTATTGTTATTCGAGAATATTTTCATGATCAGTGTATGTATGCCTAGATACATTCATAGTATTATTTTTTAGGAAAATTATATTCTAATGAAAGAGCTAGTTGATAAACTTAAAAAGACGGTAGAGAAGATCATAGAAGGTGGAGGTCAGAAGGCGAAGGAGAGACACGTTAGTAAAGGAAAACTTCTGCCTAGGGAAAGAGTCGATACGCTTCTAGACCCTGGTTCGCCATTCCTGGAATTCTCACAATTAGCAGGTCATGAATTATATGCCGGGGAGGATGTTCCAGCTGGTGGAATAATTACTGGTATCGGCAGAGTAGCAGGGTAAAGATCGGACTAAAAATGTGTAAATATCAATTTGCAAGTATTGGTTATTGATTGTAAAATTCAATTCGTTATTATACCAGAAAAAAATGTCTCGTCATAGCCAATGATGCCACTGTCAAAGGCGGGACATATTACCCGATTACTGTGAAGAAACATTTACGAGCTCAGGAGATCGCAGAGGAGAACCGACTACCGTGTATATATCTAGTTGACAGTGGTGGAGCGAATCTGTCCTATCAAGCAGAAGTCTTCCCTGATAAAATGCATTTTGGGAGGGCCTTTTATAATCAGGCCCGAATGAGTGCAGCTGGAATTGCTCAAATCTCAGTCGTTATGGGCAGTTGTACTGCTGGGGGAGCATATGTCCCTGCGATGTCGGATGAAAATGTTATAGTGAACAAACAGGGGACAATATTCCTGGCTGGACCGCCTTTAGTGAAGGCTTCAACTGGAGAAGATGTTACAGCCGAGAATTTGGGTGGTGCAGAGTTACACTGCTGGTAGGATTATTCATACCGATGAACATTAATTTTCATTACAAGAATTACAATTTATTAACGACGTGACTAGAATCTCTCCTAAATTTTCTACGTTCAGCTTAAGTTTTGAAATAGTACAATGGAATAAAATAGGGAAATAGATATTACGTTCCTAATCTTTTTAGTGTCTCCGGAGTGACAGACCATTTTGCAGTGGACGACGCTCATGCCTTGCATCTTGCCCGAGCTGCGATTAAAAGTTTGAATTCCGAGTCCACTTATAATGTGAAATTCGATTCAAATTATGAACCTCCTTTACATAACGTCGATGAAATTTACGGAATCGTCGGTGGGAATTTAAAGCGACCGTACGATGTAAAAGAAGTCATCAGCAGAATCGTAGACGGGTCCCGTTTTCACGAGTTTAAAGCGAAGTATGGAGAAACTTTAATCACGGGGTTTGCAAAAATCCACGGCTATCCCGTAGGAATAATCGCGAACAATGGTGTTTTATTCTCCGAGAGTGCTCTTAAGGGTGCCCATTTCGTGCAACTGTGCGCGCAAAGAAAGACGCCCTTAATTTTCCTGCAAAACATTACCGGTAGTTATATCAATTAGTTGAGGAATTTTTAAGGAGTGAGTAGAATAATTACAGTGTCGGATTTCTGTACGTAGGATTTATGGTGGGTCGAGATGCGGAATCCGGAGGGATAGCCAAAAATGGGGCAAAAATGGTAACTGCTGTGGCCTGTGCGGCTGTTCCCAAAATTACCGTGGTAATCGGCGGATCTTATGGCGCTGGCAATTATGGTAATCTTTCAATCTAACTTGGAAATAAGTCAAAATGATTAGCTTGATTATTTATTCAAAGGTATGTGTGGGAGGGCCTATTCGCCGAGATTTATGTATTGTTGGCCCAACGCGAGAATCTCCGTCATGGGGGGCGAACAAGCCGCTGGGGTCTTGGCACAAATTACTAAAGAGAAGCGAATCAAAGAAGGCAGAGAGGTATTTTCGATAACGCGATACTCTAATAATAATTGTTACATCGTGGTAAAAAAAAAAAATTGTACCATTATTATAGTGGTCTCAGAAAGAGGAGAAGAACTTGAAAGAGCCTCTGGTAAAGAAGTTCGAAAAGGAAGGCAGTCCGTTCTACTCAAGTGCAAGGTGAGACCGTCCTTATCAATTCGATAAGTAACTACATGTTTTCTGGTATTCAACGAACATTTTCTCTAGACTTTGGGACGACGGAGTAATCGACCCCGTAGACACGAGAACGGTTCTCGGGCTCAGCTTAGCCGCGACTCTAAACGCACCGATTCCAGATAGCAAATTTGGAATTTTCAGAATGTAATGAATTTCATGAAACGAAAATCTCTCAGGGAGTTGGTGGAATGATCGCGGGCCGACGTGGATGCTGGAAGTCGTTAACGAAATCATCGTTAATCTACCAAAGATGCTCTATTTTTTATACAAGTTATATTCAGATTTTACATTTACTGGGTATTTTTGATAATTTATGCCGTTAAGGAGAATAGAAGTTATCTGTTAAACCAGTGCATCGTTTGTTCCTCCTCGAATTGTCCTCTGGTTAAGCCTGGTTAGAAGAAAACTATTTAGGCAGAACTGCTTTTGGATAAATAGGCGAGATAACGAGACGATTCTCTGATCCTGTCGCTCATCCGTCAGTTTATTTCGAGTTATTTTACAAGAGTAAAGTGCTTGTTATTGTTGTTAGGCGTAATCCGTTAATCTCGTAATCGCTAGTTAAGTAATTAAGGTAAAGGTTGCGTAGTCGTAAGACTAGCTTGAGAACCTCGGTTCTCCGCTCGCAAAGGCCAATTTTCAAGATCTTATAATCGGACCTAAATGTCGGGATAAACGATCGGAAAAAATGTAGCGGTTACGGAGCGGAGAAATCATTGACCCATACCAGTTACGGAAACATTGCCAGAGATTTTGCAACGGGTCCGTAACCGCGCGCAGCAATACTATGCAATGTAGCAGCAGTACTTTTCCAAGAGAAATAGGTGACGGACATAACTGCGTGAGAATTAACTAAAATCGTTGAAAGAATAGCTAGGGCAGTGTCTGGAGCTTCAATCTCTAGACGCTTCTATACAAGGAAGTTAGGCTAATTTTGTCGAAAGTTTCCCTCAGCGAGGCGGCAAATTCAAATTTTGCCGCCAAACTTCTGGCCAAGCATCGCACCTTCTTCCCCAACCCTCTACCTCTGCGTCGGAGGATCGTCTTTATTTTAGTATCACATTGCTGTTCGGCTCCTCGAGTGTTCGAGCGCACTTCTCGGGACATTTTATTTGTTTATATTTCTTAATAAGCTGTTTTGTTTTTTCTTTTTTTCTCGTTTAATTTGGAATATCCTGCGGGACAACGAGCGCAAGGAAATTGCGTCGCGTCCCGAAAAGTAGCTCCGGAGTTTCTCGACCTGTTTCGAGTTTTAGGTCAAGTCTCGACGTCTGCTTTTCAGAAAACTCGGCATAGGCAAGCCAAGACCAGGAAGAGGTTTAAGCTCATTATGCTGCACCCACTCGTCACGGTTTCGACGACCTTGTATTTGAATTGTTCCCTAACTTGCTCGGCGATCATCGGCCTCTCTGCCCTTTTGTTCTTCCCCTTTAGCACGAACTTTGAAAGGCCTGAAATAAACGTTGAATTAGGATGGTTTGCGTTCATTTCACAGAATATCTTTTTCTGTACATCTAACTATGGGGTGCATCGTTACTCTGGTCGATGACGGTATTGTTGTCAAAGTCCACCGTGATGAACGTCGTCATAGACACCTCGAAGACCTTGTTCTTGTCGTTACTTCCCATGATGGCTCTTTTTCTTCTACCGAATCCAACCTGGCCGCTACTGCACTCGATCTAATAGGAAAAGAGAAATGGAAAATTAATGAATATTCATCACTCCTAGCAAAGTCGCCAACGCCCATTTATTTACTCTTTTTTTTTCTTATTATTAATATAACATACCCCTTCGCATTTATCCAGGCAGACGGTTACAGTCCCTCGAAATTCCACGTAAGTGCTCTCCGGAAATTTGAAAGCGCGGAACTTCGCGGTTAAAAAGTCACCGTCGATCGTGTTGAAGTTCTCGAAAAGGTAGGGATCGACGGAGCACCTGAATAAAGAATAGGAAAATGAATGAGAAATGTTCGGGCGAGATGTGAGGGGTAAAATAAATCATTTCTGAATGTCATTCCGTACCCGTTGAAAATTATTGTCTCTTCTTGAGTCTTCGTGTCGGTCACCTGCATGTACGTAACCAGAAGTCCATAAACCGGAGCAGATTTAGAATCAAGGAAAATCTCCATTTTTAAGGGAGTCCCAGGGCTGACATTCAATTCCCCAGTTACTTCCGTGTCTCCTTGTTTGACTTTGATTCCCAAAATTGGAGGCGGCGGGGACGACTGTATCATGGCCCTATAGGTAACGACTCTGAAAGAAAAGCAGAAAATAAACCAGGATTAGCCTTCTCCTCTTCCTTACTAGTGAGGGTATTAAGCTACGGTTTTTTTACATTTTTTTTTTCTCCCCCCTTCAAACATTACTTCGTCATATGTGATGTACGGTAGTTGCGAATGCGCATTCCCGAGTGCACCTGCAATTTCTGTCCCCGCATGTGGAGATGTAGATTATCTCCGTAAGTCGGTACGCGGACATTATAAAGCATATGCATGAAGATCGAGAAGCTGTCGCGTCATTTTACTTACACGCGGAAACTAGCCAGTTCGAGGCACATGTTCGACGTGAACATGGCACCAATCTTGACGTCTGTCGCGACGGTTATCTCTGTGGGAAGATTCGACCTAATTCGATTAGCGCGATAACAGGCGGGCGACAAGTGCTTACCGGTAGTTGCCATCCACCTGTTGCCAGGCGCAATTTTTCTTACAGAATTATCAATGAACGACCGTCTTAAATTATTTCCCACGAGCAACCTAAATCCATTCTAGCGTATAAACGTATTTGCTTGCGCTCCATATTATTACCATGCACGTAAAAAAAAGAAATAGCAAATGATAAGGTACATGCTAAATCTTTCGTAGCAATTCTTTTTCGTTACACCTTAGGGTGTTTTCCGTGACTTTGTCTTTCTCTTTGACTTCGGACCGATACCGGCACTTATTCATAAATTCCCCTTTCTAACAAGAAAGGTATCCCAGGTCGATCTCTCCGATTTGATTTCTTTTATAATATGTTATAGTAGACTAAAAACTACGCGACACGTATATTTTTTTTATCTGCCATTAAACATTTTAAGGGGGTGAAACCACCATCGAAAGTAAGGCCTGTGAGGGGTGGCTCGCCCCTTAATTTTTTTCTCTTTTAATTGAGAAAATTATATGTTTCATTTCTCGTTATGAGAAAGCTTTTCCAGGTGGATTGGTTAAAAAATATTATGTTCTTGTGGGTGAAACTACCAAATCGCCCGTTGACATGCCTTACTTTGGATGGTGGTTTCACCCCTTTAAAAGGTTTAATGGCAGATAAAAAAAAAATACGTGTCGCTTAGTTTTTAGTCTACTATGACATATTAAAAAAGAAATGAAATCGGAGAGATCGACCTGGGATACCTTCCTTGTAAGTAAGAAAATATCAGAACGTTAATTTTACACATTCAATACATGGCATGTTTTTTTTTTCCTTGACTGGATATGAATATAAAATTGGGTTACAGAGAGTTAAGACGCCGGGCGTAGCAATTTGCGTCGGTCTATTGCACCCGTCCGACCGATACCGGCGTAGACTGGGAGACATCAATGCCCTCCCATCCTGCACAGGCGATGCCGTGTCTGCAGAGGAGGTATTCACGTCCGCCACTGTACACGAGCGGAAGTTGTACGGCGGGACTGGACATGGAAATGTGGCAAATAAGGCCGACGTCCGTGAAATCGCAGAGACCGGCTACGCACACGGGGCGGAATCGTCGAGAGGCAACCGAGTTAATTGAACGCTCGCCTCCGCGGCATCGGTTTACTTTGCTGCTTGTCACTCCGTCGGAGTAGCCTTTCGTCTATTTTCCCGTGCAAAGTCCGACCGCTCCTCACGAAGTAACGATCGCGAATGGACCTATTTCAGCAATAAGTCAAGATATCGCGATCAATATGATTAACTAATCGGACCCCCGTAACACATGCCGGTGCAACCGGTCTCGACTTTACGGTATCCCGAGGGACTCGCCGGTAATTGACGCATTGACACGAACCGCGAATTACGGCGAGTGCTTATTTCGAATTTAAAAGGACGACGTTCAGGGTGGTCCGCTAGATCGTGACCACCTTAAAGGGGGGTAGATACATTTTACCGGAATTTTTTTCAATGAATCTTCATGAATTTTTCCATCCGAAATCGTAAGACCTATTGAAAAATCCTTTTTCAGAACATATTTATTGATATTCTGTCTGGTTGTGGAAATTTCTCAAAAACATTTCATTGCGTCGCACTCGCTCGGCGCGATGGACCGCTGTTATACGATATTGCTGTACTATTACTGTACGATTAACGACAAGTGGAGTATCCCATTTTGTACAATACCCACTATAATTCGACACAGCTGTCGATATAAAATCGAACGTCGGCAACGTAGGTATTTAGAAAAATCTTCTTTTTCGACGTCGATCAAGTTCCTCGACGTGTTTCACTTCACCTTAAGGTGATATGAAAGTGCCATCTGAAGGGACAATCCTTCGGGACCCTTTCTTCAAACTGGGTGTACCGAATCGTATCAAACTTTGCCACGTGAATATACAGACTCTAAGGAAGGTCCCGACACCCAGAGATATTAATTTTTTTATTATATAAAAATTAAAAAAAATACCGTAAACAAATTCTTAAACATTGAAATCTCATGGGTGTCGGAGACTTTCTTCATAGTTTCCGTATTCACATTGAAAAGTTTTACACGATTTGGTACACGTAGTTTGGAGAAAAGTTTCACAAATGAGACCTCTTTAACACCTCTTTAGTGTCGCCTTAAGAATTTACATTCTTAAGAAGAATAAAAATCACACTTAATCCCACTCAATGCCAATCTACGTATGTTTGATCGTTTATATTTATTATATTTAACAAAAACGTGAAAAATTCTGGGTAGTTCTTTTGCAGATGTGAGAATCTCTTCTCTCTTTCATTCGGTAATGATGTGTGCGCACTTCTCTACTTACTCGGGCTCTTGAAACCCCGCTGGAAGTACGTTACGCCTCACTAATGTGTGGTTGCTTACGAGGTTCACTTCGGGCTCGATTTCGACCTCGTCGATGATGCACTTCACCAGGAAGGTGTGCTTGCAGGAGTCCGCGGGCTCCTCCACGATCACGCGGTGGTAGTACACCTTTTGGTCCTGCGGGAAATAAAATTCATATAATATTTATTAACGTTGGAATTAACTATTTAATATTCGAATTCTTTACTTGATATCGAGAGTCGGAATTCTAGGGTGAAAATTGGTAATCTAATATCAGGAATCGTGACATCGAGAGTCGAAATTCAACGTAAATGTACATGTATTAATATTAAACTAATATTTAACGTTAAACGTCGGAATTTAACCTGACATTCATATATTTATTTTTAACACTGGAAAATGCGATTTAACGTAAAAAGTCGATATCTGACATCAAAGTTCATTATATAATATCAGAATTCAGGGCTCAATGTTAAATGTCGAAATTTAACGTGTGAAAATTCATATTTTAACCTCGAGAAACACGATTCAATATGAAAAGTCGAAATTTAACATGAAAAGATCATAATTGCATATTGGAATATCCCAGTGAACACTGTTATATAACTGTTGGGTAAATGTTACGTTTTCGAAACTAACATGTTATGTAGCATAAAAGTAACCTGGAAGTTAGATGTTAGTTATTATTTCCCACTCAGTAAGGTAACATGTTATATTAATGTTATAATTTCAGTTACCTTAAAATAATTATATTTACTTTATTAATTCTTCATACATTTAATAAAAAAGATCACGCAATTTTATCCAAAATTATATAATCTTTTGTCTTTAATTATTTTTTGGTACTTGACAATAGTTAGATATTGAATGACAAATCAGACTTTCAATAGCAGACTCTAGGGAAATCGGCACGAAAAACATGAATAATTCAGAATTTCATATTAGATTACATGGTTTAATACAAAATGTCATAATTTGACGTCTAAATTCCAATGTAATCTCAATAATTGTGATCTCCGGTTTATCAGACATTTTTCTACTGCTTTTTGTTGAGTATTCGAAAAGAATATCTTATCCCCGTTTGGTTGTTTCGTGAACAAGGTTACCTTTTGTTCTAAAAACAACGTAGTTGCCGTTCGGAGCGGGCCCTAGGGAAATCGGCGTCACGGTAGCCGAACAAAGTGAGGTTAAGCATTCACGTCGCGCAGAAGATGATGAGAGAGAGCGATCGAGGCAGATCACAGGTCTGGCGAAGGATCAAGGTGATCGAGTCGACGAATAACTCTTGAAGATCCTCGCCCCATGGATTTCTGGGAAGGCCTTCTAGGGACTTTTAACGCTGCGCAAATCGCGCTGGAAAACTCTCTCACTCTCTTGACTTGGAAATAAATGGCGAACGCGCCTAGGGATATTCGTTGACGAAACCGCTATTTATCGAAATTACCGAGAATTCGCTGACGATTCGCTTCATGCCGCATCTCATTAAGTCCCGGTCCAAAAGGGAGAGTCTGAAAGTGGCCACGCCATCGGTGAGATGCGGTTGACAAGCCTCGTCTGGAAAAGAATTCGATTAATTAGAATACACCGTTAAAAGTAGGCGAAGAAATGCAAGGTGAAATGATTTTTATCAGTAGAGCTATATTATTGATATATCGAGAACGAAGTTCATAAATTAGGGAGGTGGATCGAGGACTTCTAGGGACATCGTTTCGATTTGAACATTGGTTCTCGTGGATGTGAGAAATCCCAACGTGGTACTTCTTCTTTCTTTTTCCCTTCTCTTCCGCGTGGCATTAAAATCGCCGAAGGACACTTCCGTGGCTCGTGTAATTGCAAGTATTAGGAGGATACGGATATCCTGATAGCGCGTGGGATAAATACCCTTTCCGACGTAGGAAAACCTCTCCACGGTCGGTGGATATGGCGGATCTAAGATGCGACGGGATTTCTGCAAAAAGAAGTCTTGGCACGGTAACCCAGCACCCACGGAACATGGAAAGTACGTGCCATTAAGTCTACGAGCACCGAGTGCCCACGGAGAATCCGAGCTGCTCCACCTTTCCTATAAGGGGTAAAATGATTACCACGAGGGAGGAAGTGGTACATTAGAGCAATTGCCGAGAATTAACGGGGATTACATGTGGAAATTAATATTATGCCGCCGCGGTTGCAGCTGCTGTTGCATTCCCATCTGTGCCGAGAACTCTGGGCGACACTTTCCCGCGAAAAGTCGAAAGTGACGGTTCTACATTAATTTAATGTAATTCTTTATGTTTCCTATAAATTCACGTAACACACCTGGATAAGTCTTCAACTGTTGCAAGTATATCCTCGCCTCAGGACTGCTCCTGACGATGTCGACTTCCATTTGTCGTCTCGAACATCGCACCTTGCTCTGGACTGAAACACAAAATGGGCCCTTTGTCAATAAATTAATTGTACCTCTAAATCGTCTCGTATAAATCAATGAGGTTCTTGTCGGATATTCTGACAATATATCCTTCTCTTGTTATTTTACCGGCCGTGATTCATTAGTAATATTCTATTAATATTGAATTCTTCACCCGTGGGATAACCTATAAATGCGTCACCGGTGGTTAAGCAACCCGATGCCGGATAATTGGTATAATCGAGGTTAAGGCCGTAATATTATATTATCGCATTACTGGGAGCGTTTATTAGGTGATACATAAAATACGGATTTATCGCGGTTTTCCTTCTTGGATACGGACCCGCGGTGTTTCGACGGCACAATTAACAGCTGCACCTGCGCCGTCCATCTTGGCAGGCTCCGAGGATAAACGAGCACCCAGAGAAATTACACGAGCAATCCTAGAGGGAGATACTTTCGCCCTTGCCGAGTTGCATCGACGCGTGCAGGAATATCGTACACGTACCATAGAGTGGTGAACTTGTAACCATCCCATTACCGAGCATCATCATCGGGCACGTACATCTGCCAGGAGCGCGGAGTTCCGCCGCCATTTTGAGCCCTGCGTAACCTCGACCGTTCCTCGAAAAATGTCTTACATAGTATCTAAACCGCTGAACGGTCGGCGATTTGGTAGAAGTAACGAGATAATCCCCCTCTAACCCGTGTTTAAAATATCTCCAGACGTCATGTTCCCGGCCATCACGAAGAGAGGTGCAAATACGTCCGTTGAGCGAGGAGCTCCTTCGGCCGCCATTTTGATTCCCACGTGATTCCGCCTCAGGCGAGATTAATGGACTTTTTTTCGAAGGTATGGGCTTAACGGAGGCTCGTAAAATATATTCCGAGGTACTGTTTAATGGTTGGCCGTCTTTTTGGTCCTTGGGTGTCGGGTTTGTTCAGCAATAGTTGCTCAAATGTCAACATTCCAGGCGGATTATTCTCCGGGCTCCGAGAGCCGGCGGGGCCGAAGGTGGCATCCTTTTTGCAACGGGCGTTTAATTGCAGCTGCAACGCTTACACGGCCGCTCAAAAATCCGGTCCCGTTTACCTAGCACCGACCGTGAATCTTGTATTTTACATCTTCGGTCGGCGCAGCTTTGCCGAAGATGGCGCGATGACTCCTTCGACCTCTGTCGGCGGATCGGAACTCGTCAGGTTCGAAGGATCATCTGCCTCGGTGATCGGCTCGCGGATTTAATTCCGTAACATTGTAGGAAACGTCCCTGGGTGGGCAATTCCTTCCCCGAGATACCGTCGATCCCGGGAAACTGGACATATCGTCGGACAAGACCCGCCGTAAAACCATTACTAATTTTTATCACCACATTACCCATCCCGAAGACGCTGTTAATGCTCGAGGAATGGCCAGCGAGTGGCGGAATCGCCTCCTTAAAATAGATTACATCAAAATACCGATTCACCCTTTATATGGCGACATTAAACGCACCGATTATAAAATACCCCGGCGAAACAACTTTAAAGCTATGATTCGCGAAACTGCGACTTTGTGTTTGATAATTAACCGCGAAATAGGTTTCCTTATTGAAGCAACGTTAAGCATCCTAATTATGAAATAGCAACGCTATCGAAATGATTTCCCGGATGTTGGCTCATGAAACTCAATTTTCGTGTTTGAAGATAAAGTCGACGCAAAATGTGAAATTAATCTTTTGACGAGAAGGATATTAAGCGTACCGATTATATGATGGCAACGTTAACGAAATGATCTTTGAGTGTTTCATTCGTGAAACTGTATTCTCGTGATTGAAGTTGGGGGCGACGCGAAATGTGCGATTCATTTCTTTATTAAGGTAATATTAATAATCATCATTTTGAAAGGGCTAAGTTATCGGGATAACTTCCGAGGTATGATTTATAGTACCTAGTCATCGTCCTCGAGAATGAAGTCGGAAGCGCCGATCAGATTAGCTGTTGAAATAGAGTTCCGCGTTCGCATCTGCATCTGCGGCGCAATGAGCGAGGCCGCGACACTTGTTTCCCGAAAATCTGATAAATAACTGGCAATATATGATTATTTATTGCGAGGCCGTACAAGTGCGCGACGGTTGTACCGTAGTTAGGATGGTGATATTCAATGCCGCTTTACGAACAAGTGCGAGTGCGTGGTTAGCGCGTAAATTATGCGGCCGTGCAGCCGTGTCGCTTTAAACATCTTCACGGCGCATTTCCATTAGCCAGAGGAGACTCTCTCGGTGGTAGCCGGCACTTCTTCTAGAACTTATTTATTCCCCGATTATATCGCCTTTTTTCAGAATAATTTTACGCGCAACTTACCATTTTTACGCCATTCCCCAGGCAAGGGGTGCATCGAAAGGCAGCGATTTCGACCATGGGAACTTGCGGGTAAAATACGCGTCCCTGGTTCTTTTAAATATATTATCACTTTACGAGCATTGAATGTACAGCCAGGCAAGTTCGCGGCAGTTGTGCGATCGGTAGATTCAATATCGAATACTGGTTGTTGGATGAGTGCGTGTGTGGTTGCGCGTAAATTATGCGTCGGCGAGGCCGTGTCTTTCCGACGTCTTCAAGCCGCGTTTCCATTAGTTACTCGACGCACCTTTCGAGGTACTCAATGATTTTTTATATGCACTGTTTAATTGCTTCTCGGCGATACGGTTAACCCTCCACTCCTGGTTCTTGAAATTCCTATATGGCAACGATCACTTTTACATAAATATGGTGTGGCTCTTTACACGTTATCTAAATCAACATAAATTTAATTCCACTGAGAAAACGCCCAGTTTATATTTGTTTCAACATTGTGAACGTTCACCGTAATATTTCACATTTATTGGGGGTTTTTACGCGTTCCTCGTGTGCTTAATAATTCTTAAGATGCACTTTTAATTGCTTTTCGGCGATATCATTCATTTGGCCTATCTAAATCAACATAAATTCAATTCCGCTGAGAAAACACCCGATTTAAATTTCATTCAACATTGTTAACGTTCACCGTGATATTTAATATTAATTAGGGGCTTTCATGCGTTCCTCGTGTGCTTAATAATTCTTAAGATGCACTTTTAATTGCTTTTCGGCGATATCATTCATTTGGCCTATCTATATCAACATAAGTTCAATTACGCTGAGAAAACACCCGGTTTAAATTTCTTTCAACATTGTGAACGTTCACCGTGATATTTAATATTTATTGGAGGTTTTCACGCGTTCCTCGTGTGCTCAATAATTTTTAAGATGCACTTTTAATTGCTTTTCGCCTATACGATTAATTTTGCGCTCCTTATTCATGAAAATGCTCAATGTTATCGTCCACTTTTATGTGAATATGGAGGCGCCTATTTACACACTATCTAAATCTATGTAAATTCAATTCCGCTTAGAAAATATCCAATTTAAGTCGGCTTCAACATTATAAATGTTCACCGTGATATTTAATATTTATTGGAGGTTTTCACGCGTTGCTCGTATACCACTTCCTCCTCTTTCGCGGACTCATTTCTGTTCGCGGCCAAGTCCGAAGCTACTTTTACTCCGCGATACAATCAGGGATACACTTGTTTCTGCAAAGCCTAATAAATAAGTGATAATAAACAAGCCGTTAAGCGAGTACATATCCGGGGAACTTGTACGATCTGAATCCTGGATACCGGCGAAGTGCGCGCGAGTGGTTAACGCGTAAATTACGCGGCGGCGCGGTCGTGTCATTTGGAACAACTTCACGGAGCGTTTCCATTAGCGGGTTTTAAGGCGTCCCTAAAGGTAGTCACTAAGTGTCCGATGAAGCTCTAAACCCTATTCCCCCGGTTTTACGGAATCTAACGATTACGTCGTTCTTCAAAATGGCGGCGCGCTACGCGACGTCGACCGTGTTAAACCAAGTCAGAAAAGATGAAACAAACAACCAATAATTCCAATCGCACCAAAATAGTAAAAAATAGTAAAGAAAGTAAGATCACGTCCTTTCGGCCATATTAGACGAAATAAAAATATAATTACAAAAATATAACCACACGCAGAAAAAAAAAATTCAGTCATAACAAGGATATTATACTCGCGGCAATAAATATGAACATGGGCCAGTAAAATGTTTGTCCAGAAACATTTTTGTTATATCGACAACCAAAAAAAACGATTACTTCGCCGGGGCAACGGTAATTCCATTCACAGGTGCAATATTATTTTCTAGCAACAACAAATTCGTTTGAATGGCGACGTACAATTATTTTGGCCGTTGCAGGAGATTCATCGGTTAATTTAGCAAACATATTTTCTAAAGAAATCTCTCCAATGTAACCGTGGGAGAGCTTTCGACATAATTCAAGTACCTTTGTCGTCGGTGAGATTATTCCTCCAGGAGGAGCAAAACTTTCTCGGCAGTGCCGCCCCTAGCTAAAAGTGGAAGTGTCTTTTCCCGTGGAACAATTTCAATGGCACGTGGCTGAGTAAGAAAGTAGAGCACGAAAATCTAAACATATCCCGATCCAGGTTCCCGTGGGAGCCGCGCTCGGCTCTCGGGGAAAGGAAAAGAAGTCCGGGTCTTACAACTTCTTCTACCATAATTCCAACGAATGCTTGGCAATAAACGAGCCGTTAAACAAGTACGCATCGGCCGTCCTGGCGCGATCGGAGGGCCGGATATATTGAATACTGGATGCCGGCGGAGTGCGTGCGCGTGGTTAACGCGTAAATTACGTGGCTGCGTAGCCGTGTCGTTTGGAACATCTTCACGGCGCATTTCCATTAGCGAGCGGAGGCGCTCCTCAAGGTAGCACGCACCGCGCGATCCTCGCCGATCCCGGGGAGGTCTGTGACCCGAGATCCGAGAACAGCACGCGTCCTATCGCGATAAGGGAATCGATCCGGCCAGCGTACCGGTTTCACTATCGATATTTCGATATATCCCTAAGAGTCGCGCGGCGCTGCCTACGTGCTGCCCGGTGCCTCGATCCCACGCGAGATATCGCCAGGACAAGCTCCCATT